GCAGGTGGGCCTTTATGAGTTGGTCTGATCTGATGGTCTAACCGCTCACAGAGAAGGTATGTCCATACTTTTCATGTTGAATTACAGGCAGTTGATGTTCAAAAGCCCATTTTTTCTAAACAAATGTGGTCTGACCTCAGACTGAGGGATTGTCTTATATATAATCATTTATTACCATAAAGAGAAAGAAAGTGATGAATTGCAAAGATAGTTGTTATATTTAACTTTCTTGGGATAGATTTGTCAAAGAGACGTTTTAATAGCTTTATGCCCTGTTTTGTAACTGGCGCATTCTGTAACACTGTACCTTGTTATGGATAAAGCATGTAGAGCCTTGTGTTGTCATTGAGGATACCAGGTCTGTGCAATCAGGAGGAGGAATAAAGGGAAAGACAAAGAAAGGATCTCTAAGAAGGGTCAGGCCCAGGAATAATTTGCAAAAGATGGTGGAGATCTGATATCAATGTCTACCTATTTGTATCTGGACAGTGTCGTGTATAAACTTCTTTCTTTGGGGTGTTCATGGAGTGAGAGCCTGTGGTAGGTGGTGAGAACACTCAGTGGTGTTTACATGATTTCATATTATCTGGACAAGATGCTGAGTGGAATTCAGTTCTTTATTGAGATATCTGGTTGAGCCGAGCATTTGTCTATAATTCCATCTTCAGTTCATTTTTCCGTTGAGGAAGAAACAGAAAACTCATGGGTAGAGTCTGTTGAATTCCTGAAATTCCAGTTCATTTTAAGTCACTAATAGGTAACAATATACATACTTATTAAATATATTATAAAATAAATGATGAAATACTTTAAGAAAGTGCTTTTGAAATAGTACAAAGTAATTTTTGTCTACATCTATTTTTCATTTTGCTTGTTCAACATTATGCTCTTGAAGATTGACACCACTGTATACTGATTTTGAGATATACACTGGTGGTATCTTAACTGGGGAAATGTTCCATCTTACTCTTAAAAATACAGACCCCATCTCATCTTATTCTTAAAAATACTGGCTCTGGTCCCAAAAGGGGATAATAATGCAGAGAAGCATTATTTTGTCTCTTACCCTATGTCTTGCCCATGAATCAAGAGAAAACCAATAATGTCAAATGTTTGATCCATTTACACATTTCTGCCCCCTTACTCTCATCTATAAGGAGACAGCTTTTTGATTGTAAATATTCACCTCTTTGGGCAAATGACAAATAATGTAGCTGTGTTACCAACAATAGAAAAAGACATACAAAACCATCCATAAAACATGTTATCTGGCTAGCAATAAAGAATGGCATGATAAAAAAAAAAAGAATGGCATGTTAAATTAAATTATGGTACTTCTCAAAAATGGCATATTACACCATTGTTAAATGGTAATCAGGAACCTGCATAGAAACATGAAAACATACTTAGCATATAAATAAAAGGAAAAGAAAACCACACAATTATAATATTTAAGGTGTATGTGGGGGAGTCTTTGAGGATGATATGCTAAAATGGAAATACAGTAGTTCTGTTAAGATAGTGGGGCTGTGGATTTTCAAAAAATTTTCTTTAATGTTATAAAGTAATAATAACAGTGAATTAACCAAGTAAATGATGCTATAGGTGCAGAATGGAGATATTAATAAATAAATAGAGGTTGGATATTACCAAAGGGAAAAGCATTGAAAAGAATGAATCTTCCTTCCCTACCTGTGCCAGCTCAGTGGGTATTAAGACCCAGGGTATTGAAAACATTTCCAAAGGACCTGATTAGTAGAGTATTGAAAACATTTCCAAAGGACCTGATTGGAAGAGACTTTGAACTTAACTATATCTGGATTTTGTTTGCCATGATTGTAATAGAAACTAAATCTTGAAACAGTTGTCTAAATATGTTCTAGCTTGGGTATCTTGGCTGAATTCACACTTTAAATCAAGAAGCAGTTTGGAAAAAGAACCCATGAGAATAATAGATAGGAATATTGAACAAGAAAAAGTCAATAGAAATAATTTCAAAAATAAAATGCCTGTTTAAAATTAAGTTGAAATAACTATTTGGATTAATAGCAAGTAAAAAAATAACTAGTACCTACTTTGATTTATGTCTGTCTGAAAGCTCTTACTGGGTACAGGGAATAGTCTTCCTGTCTATTATGTTAATATTAACAACTTGCTAAAACTGTTGACTAGAATGAGCTGCTGTTTTCCCCTAACAAGCTCAGACACTTTTCTCACCTTGTTTTCCTTCTCTTCCACCTCTGTTCAACAGAATGGCTGCTTTCCCCTGAGTAACACTTAATGAGTATTAATTTGGGGGCACTAGGCTACCTTGCTTTATATTAGGAGGTGTTACCTAATGTAAGATATTAAAAAAAATCACACACACAATCACACATTTTATTCTTTCTGGTCAAAGTTAAGCCACCCAGTCAACATTTGCAAACCGTTATTTTAGCACTGCAGAAAATTCCCTCAAGAGCATATTTAGATACCTTAAGTATCTTAAGTAGGTGGATGGAAGAAGAAGACTGAAGTAAGTTTCTTCTGAAATAGAACTTGAAAATGTGATAAAATATCTTAGATTTCTAAACTAGTAATTAACTTTGGATTTGGACATTGGAGTGTGTGTACATTGGAGTGTGTGTGTGTATATGTGTGTATGTAATATCAAGGGGTTTGAGCTGATTCCAAGAAATCAAAAAGTACCTTTTCCACACCTTAAACCATACCTAACACTACAAGCATCTCTTTTCAGGCCCTGTATAGATGTTCTTTGTGAACATCTCTCTCTGCTGTCTTGCTATCTCTTCATCCCTGAAGAGGTCCACAAATGGCAAGCAGATTAGAAGGGTTTTTTTGTTGTTGTTGTTCAAATTAGAAGCTTTTATTCCTAAGAGAGTTATCCAATAATTTTTACCTTCATTGAAACATGATTTTCATCTTTTAAATGCCCTATAATTATTAAGAGGTATTGTGATTTTAGGAAACTATTTTTCCTCCCCACCAAATCCAAAGTAAATTACATTTATGGCATTTATTGGATTATTTGGGGGCTATACCAATATCAAAAAATTTTATCCTTAATTAACATCTTCATTTCATTCCCAGAAGTGTATTTGTTGAATAAGTGATTTTGGCAATAAAACAAATCTGCTTTCACATATCTACAAAATTCTTTTGAGTAGTAGTAAGAATTCAATCCATGTCATATAATTTTTATCATGAATTGCATAACTTTGGCATGCATTTTGCTGTATCTCATTCCCTGGCATTATATAAAGTGTCGTTGACATGGTGCCATAGAATATTCAAACTGGGAATGAACGATAGACATACTCTATGTAAGTCAGTCCCACTCCTCCCTGATTTCTGAAGAGTGAGAACTGAGGTACAAGAAGATAAAATTTGCTTAGGATCACACATCTCATTTTCTGACATTTAAGCCCTACTAAAAAAAAATCATACTCTTTTGATGTTGAACTTGGTTTGAAAATTGTGATTTTTAAGGGCCTGGTTCTTAAGACTGAATGACTGCTGCACTTGAAGACTTGCAGAATTGGACCTGAAATATACAAAAGGGGCATGGCTAGAATTTTTGTCCTCAATTCCCCCTTTGGGAGAGAGTGGCTGAAACTATCTGATCATTGAAAATAAATCATCATTCTTTAAAGGATGCAAAATATTTTGATCTTCAATATGAAATGTACCATGATTTCTCTATATAATTCAATATTTCTCTTCAACAGGGACTAAATGGTATTCTGGCTGATTGCCCTCTTGTCTATTACGGTTAAGCAAGTGAAATAGAAAATACATTTTAGGATCCCCTTGTGCCTTTTTCCCTCAGCAGCAAAAAATTAAGTATGAAATAAAACAGACCTTGTCATGCAATGCTCACTGATTAGGTGAACTTAATAAAAACTGACCTTTAGTTAAATCTAGTAGCTTAACTCATTTCATTGGCATTTATAGTCTTTGGGAATGTTGAATAAATGTACAAATAATGACACTTCCAGAAGTTTAACCATTACATTTTATGTAAATTCTGCATAAAGTTCAAGACTAATGTATTGACTTCATAGTTTTCAGATTTTTAAAAGGCATATAGGAATACTTATTACCATAACTCCCAGAAATGCTAAAGACACTTGTATACATATGTAAAACCCATTTTGACTTGATGAACACAAATTCTAATCTATGAAAATATTACATCAAGTCATTTTGCACCTGATGAGGAAATTATACATGAATGATAGTAAATATTAAAAAACACTTAAGATAAAGACCCAGTAAATCAATTTAAATGAAGAGTTTAAGAAGGAACATAACCATCTAAAAATGTTAGTTTTTTACCTAGCTGGTCCCACTTGCTTTACTTTATTTGAAATTTCTGATCTTGTCAGAAGATAACATCATAAAACTCAATTACATAATTCAACTGCCTTTAACTCCCCTTTCTCCAAAAACCATCCTACCTACGGAGGGAGTAGCTTTTCTATCTTGACTTTTTTTTTTCCTTTCAGCAAATAGTAAGTGTGAAGAGCTTTCACCAGATAAAAATCATTTCATACAATGAAGCACTAAATTGTTTTGTCTTTCAATTGATTCAGACTGAAAATAGCTCAGTTTCCCTATGGCAAGCCCATGTATCATTTCATGCCTGATATCTGCAGCCCACTCTAGATTTATCTTGCTTTTAGCAGGTGCTGAGTAGCACTTTCTGGGTTATTTTACAAAATATCCAACATGGTTTAATTGTTAAAAAGCAATTGGAACTGCTTCTTCTCCTACCCACTGCCTCTTCCAGTGTCCTTAACCCTCATCACCCATCCCTAAAATGTGTCCCCAACATGCCTATTTACATGGCTCTCAGGCACCCGAAGCTTGCACACCCATCACATACCAAGTCAATTTCTAACAGTTTGAAGGCTGTTGGAGCAGGGCAGTTTCCTTCCCCTAGAAGCTGAGTATAGTCACGTTTCTATCAACACAGCGACTCTTGTATGCAAAGATTATTAGACTATTGTCTCGTGATCCCACCTGCCTTGGCTCTGATTGATGTAACAACAGTATCTGTCATAGGGACTGTTCTGCTTGTAGGAGCAAACGATGATACTGTCCTGGGGCACAAAGAAGATGCTGTCCTCAGGCTCCGGGCAATCAGATCTGTCCCAGGCTGAGCACTTGGCATCCAAGGCACTGTAGGCAAGGGAACTGCCTGAGGGACAGTAACCATCCAGGTATCTGGATGTCTCCTCCTGATGCCCGCTCTGGACCAGGCTCTGGCGTTCTCCTTCCGTGGGTGTGAGGGTGGTGATGGAAGTGGCCACAGGCACCTCTGTCTGCCCCTGGCAGGGGGACTTCCCCCTGAGGCCCGCCTTCTTAGCCAGCTCGTCTGAGCTTCCCTTGCCTGACTCCAGGTCTGAAGGGGTCCTCAGCAGTTCCACCACTTCCTTGTCCTTGGGTTTCCGGAAGCAGGGCAACTTGCGGACCCACAGCAGCTCATTTTCAGGCCACTTGGTGCATCCCTCGGTTTTCCTGGCCAGGGCAATGGCTGCGATGCCTGGTAGGCAGATGGCTGGCCCGATGGCCAGGAGGGGGATGTTTCCCAGAGTCTCTCCTTTCATCCCAGAGACGGTGAACATGAAGCCAAAGACCAGAAAGACACTGACCAGGGCCACCACCAGCCCAGTCCTCGGGTTTATGTCATCAGGCCGCATCTTTCACTCCATCCAGACTGGGGGCTGCTTGCTGGCTAGGGAGCAGCAGTTCTCTCTTCTGTCAGAAGCAAAACCACAGTGGGTTAAAAAAAAAAAAAGAAAGAAAGAAAGAAAAGAAAAAAGAAAATCAAAGTCAATTTCCCACCCACCAACTCTCTATCTCTCTTACTCGTCTCTCTCCACTTGTCTGTCAATCACGGTCTCTGGGTCTCTAATTCTTCCTCTGTTTCTCTCTCTCTGACTGCCTCTGTCTCTTTCATCCACCGACTGGGGTCACTGAGGTACCTGAGGTTTCCTGCCGTCTCCCAGGAGCAGGGAAAGAAGCCAGTCTGAGTCTCCTTAGAAACCTCCACAACAGCTGTCCCTTCGGCTCTCTCCCTTGTTTCTGGAAGGAAAGCCTCGCTTTCCCCACTGACTCTGCATCCAGGAGGTGGGACGTGGGAGCGCGTCTTTCTCAACAGCGCCCGTCGGTCTCCAGAGCTCTGGGAGTGGAATGGAGGCACAGCCCAGCGCCGGGCTCTGGTGCTGGAGGGAGGAAGGACTTAGTCTGGGAAAGAGGGAAAGCAGCGCGCGAGTCTGGCCTCGTTACATCACTTTCAGAGCAAGCTCAGAAACAAAGACGGACGCGCGGGGGCGCGAGGGGTTCAGACCCCGGGGAGAGCCACCCGGGCAGAAGAGGTTGCCCAGGGTCCAGTCGGGGTGCTGGGAGCAGCTGGGGTTCGTTCCGCCGCTGTCCAGGGGAGCGTGCCTGGGGAGGGTCTGGGGTGCGAGGCTGCGGCTTGCAGGAGAGCGGAACTCAGGACGATTTGCCCAACGGGGCAGCCTGGACTCCGAGTTCAGGTCCGAGGGCCAGAGGGTGCTAGCTGGACATATTCCTCGGGGACCTGGACCTTTCTCCAGTTACAAATCTGGGTGATCCGACCCGACTGATAGCAGAGCTCCCAGGGGGTTCTCTGACCGCGGGTCTCTCAACCGCGAGACTCTCAGGGCTCAGAGGGCTGCACTGCTCCAGGGTCTAGCTGCTGGCGGACCGCTCTGGGTCCGGGCGCTGGGCGGCAGCGGTGTGTGCAAAACCGCTCCGGCGGCAGAGTAGGGTGCGCTGCCAGGGCCCACAGGACCGGCTCCCAGGCTGAGATAGTGGTGAGGAGTGGGTGTCAAATCTTGCTTGAGACTTTGGGGAGTCACCAGAGTCCTTCCTCCCTGGTCTTTCAGCTCCGGACCCTGGAGGGGGTGGCCTTGGAGACGGGATCCTACTCCAACACTGGTGACGCCAGCCAGGCCGGCTAGGTCAAAGGAGAAGGGCTCTCTGACCAGGATCCCCATCCTTGCCCTTAGCACCTGACCCCCACCGAGTGAGGAGAAGGCAGGGCCTTCAATGGGGGGGTCAGGCCGACCAGCTCACCATACAGCTCCAGCTTTGGGCGATTGTCTCTTCCCTTGCAGAAGCTGCTTTGAAGACCCTGTTTTCTACCCAGCGCAGTGGGGGATAGATTCCTTTGGCCCGAGGGGCAAGACTGTTTTTCTTCAACAAGGCTGTCCATTTAAGGTAGATGGGGACTAGTGAGGAACAGGAAGGAGAGGAGTGTACATTCTTTCATGTCAAGGCACTGCAGTGGAAAGAAATTTGAAAGAGCTTTGACATCCAGACCTTCCCCTGCTTAAACAAGCTCTGTGTTCTTGGGCAAGTGACCTAACCTTTCTGAGAGTCAGTTGACTCATTTGCAAAATGAGAATAGTACTATCAAATGTGTGGGAAAGCATTATGAGAACTAAATAAATATAAAGCACAATGCTTGGTAAGTGGTCCTTGTTCACAAAGTGGTTGTGAACCACTATATATTTGCATAGGATGTCATAATCAACATAAGGCATGAGCCAAATCATAAAGAGCCTAACTGTGGGGCTAAACACCTTTGATTTTATCCACTAGACAATGAGAGCCATGGAAATATTTTCAGCAGGGATCAACACAAAAGCATTCCATTTTGTTGACTTGGTGACAGAAGATTAGAGGACAGGTTGCAGGGGGTAAGTGTGGAAGCACCTTCTAGAAGGACAGTTCAGTCAGCTGGGCAAGGCATGATATGGGCCTGAACATTGCAGAGACTAGGGATGGCTAGAAGAAAGTGAATTTGAAGGATGTTTAAGGGTAGAGTCAAGGATCTTGGATCAAAGGCAGTAAGAGGGTAGGAATCAAGGTTGACTCCCACATTTCTCACACATTCAACTGAGTAGATCAGGAATCAGACTCCTGATTTTCCATATCATCTAGTGTGTGTGTGTGTGTGTGTGTGTGTGTGTGTGTGTGTGTGTGTGTCCTTTGTACTCATGCTCATTAGATAGCTGCTGTATTTCTGGACATAGAATCATTATCTTGGGAGAAAGAAAGGGGAAAAGGGAAAGGGTAAAAGTGAGATGCCCGCAGTTTGACCATTTATATCAGGATATCAAACTTTATATCAGGAAAATAATTGTTTTCTTGACATTCTCACCAAGTAGATAGACATCTGGTTATATGTAGATGGCCAGAGGGATGTCATATGGGCGACCTCTAGATGCAAAGGAGCCTGGGAAATCGCGGCTTAATTTTTGACCAGGTTTATTGCCACTCTGAAAAACAATCAGGATTTTGTTAGCAAGGAAAAAGAAGAGAATGAATACTGGGGAGGGGGGTGCAGCTAGCTGTGCGTGGGCCACAGTTATAGAACATGTCTCCCTTCTTGAAACCTTCTCTTGCCCTGCCTTTACCAACACCATTCTATCCCAGTTTCCCTCCTATTCTCTGGCCACTCTTGTAAACTATTTTGTAAACTCTTCTTTATTTTATTTATTTTTATTTTTAATAAAACCCTTAGATGTCAGTATTCTGCTGGTCATACCCCTGTTGCTCCCTTTTCCTTATTTCTTTTCCCGCTTTATAATAGTTTTAAACACCAAGTGGGAGGATGCTGACTCCTAAATTTCTCTCTTTAACTTTGTCCTTTTTCTTCAGTTTCAGATTTGTAATATCTAATTTTCTGCTTGATAGCTGTCTGTATGGCATACAGACACCTCAAACTCAACATGATCCCAACTGAGCTCATTGGATTTCCTTCAAACTCGCTCTTTCTCATTTGACCCCAACTGAGAAGTTTGCAATTGCCCTCCATTCCTTTCTTTCCCTAACAACCTGAATCCAGTAAGTCACCCAAGTCATCATAGTCTTACCTCCTAAATCCCTGATCTTCTTCTCTTCTACCTGTGACCTGAGGCAAATCACTTTACCTCCCTGGGTTTTATTTTCTTGTGAAACAAGGACTTTGGATGAGGAGCTCGCTGAGGTCCATTTCAGCTCTATCATTCCATGCTTCTCTGACAGTCACTTCTGCAGGGTAGACTGATGTCATTGTGTAGGTGCTGTGACAAAAGTGCTGGAAACCAGGTTGGATTTTAAATAAGCACCATTGCAGAACAAAGACCTCTGCTCACTTGTAGGAGCATCTAATTCCATTCTGACTTTTAAGCCATGCAGTTTATCTACTTAAGCATTAGATAAGACCCATGCATAAAACCACAGGAAACTTCAATTACTGTTTAATTATAAGCCTGATTCTCAAAGCAGTTCCTTCTTAGAGGTAATTTCGGATGGTCTTTGAACAGCAGGTATACTTGCCCAAGCCCAGCAGCAAAAGTGGGTGGGTGGGTGGGGGGAGACATCACTCAGGGTCATAGTAATCAGAGACAGAAAAGACACTCTTAGTATTTAATTCCTTGCCTGTACAGGCTGATTGCAGTAGGATTTTAAAACCTTAAGCATATATAGCTATGTACAAAAGCTTTTCATCAGAAGAGAAAGGAAATTCAGGTTGGAATGAGGCTTTGGCATGTGGGTGTTTGAGAAGGAAATGCAGAACCTTTTATTTCTGAAATTACAGAAAACATGGGATGCTAGAATTTGAAGGTACTTTATAAAATATCTACTCTAACCCTCTTTATTATACAGATGAAATCCAGAAAGGTTGCATTCCTGCAATATTACTTGAGTATTTATTGTGTACTTGGCACTGTGCTAGGTGCTAGGGATACAAGTCAAATGGGATATGGTCTGCCTTTATAGAACTCATGTTCACAGAGCAAGATATGTGTATTAGTAGGATAGGATAGATTATGCCATGGCAACAAAAGACTTCCAGATCTCAAGGGCTGTATGCTCATACTACGTGTCTATGATGGGTCAGCTGCAGCCCTGCTCCAGGTTGACTTCACTCTGGGATTCAGGCTGACAAGGCAGCCTCCATTTGGGACATTGCCAGTCCACTGAATCCAGGCAACTGGAGGCCCTGCACTGATTCTTCACTTCAGTGGATTCTTTCTTTGGCTCCTCCAGCTCTGCCCTTCCCTATAGGCCAAAGTGATGTGCCTCACCTGGACACCTTCTTGCCCTTTCTAGACCATGTGATAGGTACCCACAAACCTAGAATTCCCTGCCCAAACAGCCCCATACCTGCTTCCAGGGCTTATGCACAGCTCTTTGCTAAGTCCATCCTCCCAAGTGTTGACCATACTGCAGGTATGCACATCCGTAGGCCTGTGGAGTGGCTAAGGGACAACTGTGTTTTTGAATATGGATAAAGCTCTGGCATGCAAGATGGGGTGTCTATACTCTGCCTGTCAACCCTTTCACGGTTTAGAACAGCGCCGGGGATGGGAAAAGAAAGGCAGCATTCATTTTATTTTTGCCTGGAGCCTCACACATGTTAGAGACAGGCCTGGTTGAAGGTTTTGGGGAAAGGAGGGAGAAGTCCCAACTGTCTTAACAGGCTCCTAGCTATGTATAGACAACAGACTTAAGGTAGGTCAAGGGCAGAAGCAGGGAGAGCAGTTGAGATACTATTGCAACTGTCCAGGCAAGAGATGATAGTGACTTGAACTAGGGTGATAGCAGTGGATGTGGCAAGCAGTGGGTCAGATTCTGGATATATCTTAACCTAAGCTGACAGTATTTGTTAATAGATTTGGGA